AAGTCAACACGCCTAATCAGAAAATTAAGCGACTATAGAAATAGCACATTTTGATTGGAAATCATTAAGATAGTTTAAAACAAAACAAAACAAAATCCCTGCTGAAACTTTAAAAATATAAGAGATATACAGACGCACTGAAGCATAAACCATCCACCAGTAAATAACTAAATATAAATGGGTGGAATAAACAGTGTCAGCCATGAAGTGAACAGTCAGTTCTTGAAGCTGACAAAATGGACAAAATGTACTTTAACAAGGGCCAGAGATGGCTAGATGACAGGGTGACAGCATCTTCAAAATGGCAGGTCATGTGAGGTGTACCCACAAAAGTGTTCGAAGAAAGGGCAACTGATGAACTGGCAACGAGGTCATAGACACCTAAAGCTAACTACAAGGCTGGTGATTGAGGTGTGATGGCACAGAGGAGATACTGCAGCGAAAAAGAAGAAAACAGAAGCTGGAAGGCGGCCATCCTCTACATCCACAACGAGGAATATAAGAAACACACTCAAAAAGCTGGAGACAGTGATTAGCTCCTGAGGATCTGCACTCTTTTTAACTTATTATTCTGTAATTGTTATTTCCCCTTACTTTGGCAGGAATAATGGACTGGAAGAACTCTGATATGTAACACATGCTTTTCCCATTTATTAATTATTTGTTTTTTAATTTAAAACACAAACAAATTAAAGTAAGACTGTCAGAAAGCCTGGAGTACTGTTGCTTAAGACCACAAAGTCTGGCTTCCTGGAAGCAAAATGTAAAGAAATAAGGGGCAGTTAAAGACTTTCTACGAGTACTGTAAGCAACTATCTTTTAAAAATAGCTCTTTTAATGCATTCTGGCCCTTTGTCTAAATGCAAATGAAGTTTCAGGTCACTGAAAACATCGTCTTGCTTTTCTTCTTTTGGAAAGCTTCTAAATTTATTCTAAAACTCTGTTTTTGGAAACTCTGCTTGCAGTGTGGAAGCGCAGACAGGACAGAAAAGGAGACTTATGGCAACGATAACAGATACCCTGTTTGCTACCTGGCCAGGTCTTATCAGTCAAAACATGTCTTTCCCCGAAGCACCCAGCTGCTTCCTGTTTACAGTGCATACCCCGCTGTATGTGAATGAATGAAAAGTGTGCAAGAGCGCTTCGTGTAGCTCAAGATCATTTTTGTTATAAGACAAACACACAACAAAAGACGAAAAAAACAACAAAAAAAATGCTGTCATGGTCAAGGGTTACTGGGACGACCACAGGCAAGTCAGTCTTTGATATTCCCTCGACATGCTGCCACAGGTAGTTCTTTATGTTGACCCTTTTTAAACACATAAACATAAGCATAGGAATCCTGGCCCTAGTATAGTGAACCCTTGGACCTTGTGACTTTGTTACTCGTTCCACATAACAGTCTTAAAAGGAGACAAAATTAAAACCCGGGTTGCTTAGAAACAAGCCCGTTGATTGCCTTGACAATTGCTTCAGAGACCTGCTGGCGTTTATATGACATGGCCAGAGAAAACAACCTTGACCTCGTGCTACAAATGCCTCGCCTCGGCGCGCAAACAGTGCATTTCCATATTAACTATTCAAATGTCAGCTGTTCTGTTTGGTTTTGTGTTCGTGTGTTATTTCTCCGTAGCTTGCACAGTCTGCTACAGCGCAACGGTGGAGCGCTAACAACAAGCAGAGGAGGCCTCTGGTCGTTCTTGGAGAGAGGCAAAGTAGGTTAAAGTTTCACGGTGCTGATGATTGAGTCCAGTTGCTGTGGGCCTCACAGAAGCTTCTCATGATTGCACAAAAACACACACCAGGGCAGAGAGTGAGAAACGCGCACGGGCGCATCGCACTGTGAAACAGTGATTTCTTTGGAGCCTCGAATGCCCTAGATGCATCGGCAGCTCTCAAATTAAGCAGCTCAGAGACGGAGGAATCAAATGCGTTTCCATTACGGGGCAAATATTCCATCTCCCCCCTGTCATAACGACACTGTATGGCAGCATTATGGGGAAATATCAAATTAGGCTGTTTCATTTGGAGGACTGTTGTGCATTGCGAGAAGCTTCGGAGATCAATTGAGCTGCTAGGTAATGAGCGACAGCGGCCTGCTCTAATATACTCAGTAATGTTCTTTTGATTGCTTTGGTTAATCTTGCTCTGTCGAGCAAGGGAAGCAACCCTCCTCTTCTCCCCGCTTTGTAACATGCTCATCAGCCCAGGTTAGAGGGTAAACTAAGAAATAGGGAGCAGTGTTAAAAAAAAAAATCAAAATGAGATCAATCAAACTATTAAATCTGGATAACGCCTGCACACGTTCCGTGCCACTAGGGATTCATTATACTCCTTGACGACGTCGCCTATTTCTGGTTTCATGCTGGAGAGTTTCCATAAAAGAAGACCCAGCTGAACAGGCCACAAAGTACGACCTCCGGATAAAGTCTCGCTAATGTGCCGATGCCGTGGATGGAATCAGACACATTGTGCCGCTCTGATCTCAGAAAGCAAATCGTCTCACTCGTGCGCCACTCACAAACACAAGTGCTGCTCCGGGACACCACTCACAGCTGTGACCATTTTAATATCCCCCAGCCCAGATTCACTCCTTTGCACCTTTTCACCTTTTTTAAAAAATGCTAAGAAACCTGTCCAACCCCTTTTGCAATATGCTGCACCGCACTACTGCGTGCCACACCATCTGCCATGTTTTGCTGTGCAGTGTGAATATTTATTTGTACTGCTCAGCATCCCCCTACTGACCGCGCTGATCAAGCTCTGACGCGGCAGCCACGACAGAGGTGCTTTGCGTGACTTTTACCTCTCCACGTGGTCCAGGTTCCCCGATACGCCCAGTCCGCCGATCGTGTACAGCTTGCCATCGTACACCAGGCTGTTGTGCCGACAGCGAGCCACGGTCATCCGGGACACCAGATTCCAGTTGTCCAAAAGAGACATGTAGCACCACACATCAGCCACCATCACACCTGACTCTGTGCCACCTGCAATGCACAAAAAAAAGGTTTATTAGAGTTGATAAGCAGGGCGATCAAGAGAGCTAGAAAAAAAAAACACGCCAGTTTTCCTCTGTCATAGCAAAAATGGGCTAAATCTTCTGCTTTGGTGCATATTAGTCGCTGCTGGGGTTTGTGGAACTACTGCTGTGGCAATTATAGGGCTGAAGATTAATGACTGGTTAAAACCAGACCTGTCAGGCGCTTGAACAAAGTGAGAAGGTGCTGGATGATTTCATCACTATGAAAATCATCCAGGCATCCGTCATTATTGTCATGTTTATTAAC